GAGAACTTGCCCTACTACCGGGAAGCCGACGCCGCCGAGTTCCGTGCCCAGGATGCCACTGGCGCCTGGAGCGCTCAGGCAGCGCCAAGCGCCGATCCCAGACATCCAGCGCACCGAACGGAGCAAGACGGATGTTTCTCGTCGCTTCGGGCCTCTGGGGGCCCTCGCTGGCCTCGGGGCCGTCAACGAATCGACCCCGAGTGGAAATCGGGACTTCCTGGGAACGCCGCCCCGGCTCCTCCTCCTTGGAATCCCCCGGGCGTGTGCAGCTTTGTCCTCGGCGAGGACTGTCGAGGAGCAACGAGCAAAGGCGCACGGCACCGAAGGATGCAAGCGGAATGGGCGTCCGAGCGACGGCGAGCTCTGCAGGGTCGAGGAGGTGTCGGGCAGACCGCGCGCGGCTTGGACACTCCGGCGGGGTCGGGGGGGGGGGCAGCTGGTCGCCTCGAGGAAGCGCCCTTTCCTCGAGGAGGTGGGCCCCAAAAGAGCACCCCAGAGCCTTCCAAAACCTCCAAAAACCTGCTCCTCCTCCTCCTCCTCCTCCTCCTCCTCCTCCTCCTCCTCCTCCTCCTCCTCCTCCTCCTCCTCCTCCTCCCCCCCCTCGTCCTCCTCCTCTTCATCGCCCTCCTCCTCCTCCTCCTCCTCCTCCTCCTCCTCCTCCTCCTCCTCCTCCTCCTCCTGCTGCGCCTCCTCCTCCAACGGGGCCCTCCTCCTCGAGGGGTCGGCGCCAACGGGGGCCAGCGCGTCGCCTCCGATGCCCTCTGCGACCGCCCCGGGTGAGAGGGGCCCCGCAGGGCCCTCCGCCCCTCCCTGTCGGCGGCGAGCGCGGGGGGGTGAGGACCACGGGGGAGATGAGATCTCCCCAGATTTCATGGCGCCCCTTCCTGTTTCAATACGTCCCCGGCCCCCCCCTTGCTCCGCGCACGTGCCGCCGGCCATGATTTGCGCCCCCCCCCCGCCCCGGAGGGAGGGAGGGAGGGAGGGAGGAGGAGGAGGAGGAGGGGGAGGGGGAGGAAGACAAGCTAGGTGCGCTCGCGTCATATCTGACGTCCTACCCCTCCCTCCCATCCCTTACCATGGCGCTGATTTTCTCTATCCGCGGACGCGTGTCGTAGCGGACCTGTGGCTCCGCGCGCGTCAGCGCGTAACTAGTGGGTGGTGGGTGCGCGCGCGTGCGTGCGTCGAGGTTGTGAGTGGTTGTGTGGGGGTGGTGGGTGGTGGTGGTGGTGGTGGTGTGATGGTGCTGGTGCGCTGGGGCTGGTGCATGTGGTGTGTGCGTGTTAGGTGCTGGTTGCTGGTGCTGGTGCTGGTGCTGGTGCATGGTGCGCACGTGCATGGTGCTGGTGGTGCTGGTGGTGCTGGTGGTGCTGGTGGTGCTGGTGGTGCTGGTGGTGCTGGTGGTGCTGGTGGTGGTGGTGCGGCGCGTGGTGGCGGGCGGATGGGCGCGCGAGAAAGAGGCCCGCGCTGGGGCGAGAACGCCATCCTGAACGACGGAGGCCAAACACCGATCCGAAAATGAGGCCCACGCTGCAGCGGGAGCACGATTCGGAACGATTCGGGAGCAGAAATGAGGCCGGCGCCTCAACGAGAGCAGCATTTTGGGAACAAATGACGCCGGCGCCTCAGTGAGAGTCGTTTCCCGGGATTTCCCGGGGATCCTGTGTGTTAAAAAACAAGTAAAACAGGTGCGCGGCCGTCACCCGGACGCCATCAGGGGAAGAGGGAGAGTATTTTCATATGTGTAATTGTGAGGAAGAGGAGGAGGAGGAGGAGGAGGAGGCGGAGGCAGGAGGATGGAGGAGGAGGGAGGGGAGGAGGAGGAGGAGGAGGAGGAGGAGGAGCTTGGACGCACCCCTCTTGGCCGGCCCCGATTCCCTTTCGGCGGCGAGCGCGGGGGGGTGAATAGCAGAAGGCCTCCTCGGAGGGCGGCGGACCTTCTTTGGAAGCCCTCGGCGCCTCTTGAGAGGTCTGCTGTGCCTTCGGGGGAGGCGGAGGCAACCTCGCAGGAGGCCAGGAGACTTCCGAGCCTCCCGAGAAGGGCTTCTCCTTCCCACTCCCCCCCCCCTGGCTCGCCGCCGACCGTGCACGCCGTCTGCTCTGAGGCGTTCTGGGACCCTGTGTTGGGCCGTCATTGGCCCTCCGTTGACGCCCGCGAACAAGTCAGGCAGGTCGCGAATCACGTTGTAAGGGAGCTGGTTGCATAAATACAGTTGTGTCGACGACGCCTACGGAGAGTCACCGCCTGGCGGACAATTGATGCAAAGCTCGCTCGGCTGTGGTTGAGTTCTGGTTCCGACGAGTGTTGTCGGGACGACTGAGGGAACACAGGGGTCCGTTACTCTCGCATCACTCCACTCAGTTCCTCGAATTGTTTCCCATCGGCTCCTGGAGTGATGCGCACCTGATTCTCCCAACCCAATCCTCCCTACCAGCTGCAAGCCAGTCTACCACGCAGTTTCTGCAGCTTTTGCCCGCAGGCGCACCCTGCCATCCCTCGTCTTTGCGGCTGATCCTGTTGATACCTCCGTCTGCTTATGCCGCTGTTTCTTCTCCTTGCCAGGCCCCCTACGTCGTGTTTCATTCCCACGACCTTGGCCTCTGGAGGTCTCAGCCCATTCCCCCAGATACATCTCATCCCGAGCCGGCTTTTGGACGGCAGGGGCCCAGCACAAGAGGGGCCCGCAGAGGCCGAGCGTGTCCGCAAAGCCCACCAGCCCTTTAGGGCGTAGGTGGTCTAGCGCGTTTCTTCTTTCACCCCTCACTCTTCCCCTTCTGGGAGGGGCTTATCATTGTTACTTATCAATATGCACCCCCTCCCCCAGGTGACCGGCGTCCAACCAGGAACCTTGAGGACACCATGACGACCTGCCCCCCACAGTCCCTATCAAAACAATACAAACCGCACTCTGCCTCCACATTTGGAGCATGAGCAGCCAGCCCGATGCGTCCCCCCCCACACCATCCCTGTCAAAATAATGCAAAGTACACTTCGGGGCAAAGTCTTGAGTCATGTCCGTGAGGCCCACGAGCATTTTGTATTGTTTTTCACGGGGACGGCGGGGGTGTCAGCATATTCCTTGCTGCGCGCAGGGCTACCATCCCTGACAAACAACAACACAACATGCACCTCGCGGCCAAATCTGGATCATGCGCGGCCATCCCGCGATCATTGTTAAATGGTTTTTGACAGGGACCGCGGGGGTGGTGGCGCGTGGCCTGCTGTGCTCAGGCCCACCAGACACAATGATGGCCATTGGTTTTCGACAAGAATGGTGGGGGCCGACATGTTTCCCGATGTGTGCTGTCACGTGCGCAGGCGCACCTGACGCACTCTGCACGAGCCCTGAACGTGGTGCACCTGGCGCGGCTGGAGTGTGCGGCACACCTGGCGCACTCGGAGCACGTGGCGCATCTGGCGCACCAGGCGTGCCTGGCACGCTCGGGCCCCGGGGTTGCCTTGCGCGCGTGGCGCACCTGGCACGCGTGGCGCACCTCGCCCAAGCGTCGCGCACCTGGGGTCGGCTTTGGTTCCCAGTAGCTGTCCATCCAAAGACGACCGCTGAACATGCTCAGGCTCGGGTGTTACTTATGTGTTGGGAGGGCGGGTGGGAGTGAGCAAGACGGCTTGCAGGCGAGTGGGTAGCTTGATCATTGTTCCCTATTAATGAACACCCCCTCCCCCAGGCGACTGGTAGCCAACCAGGAGCCATGAGGGCCTCCCCCCCATTCTTTGTAAAAACCATGCGGAACACACTCTGCCTCCAAATTCGGAGCACGCGCAGCCAACCCGATGCGCCCCCCCCCACCATCCCTGTCAAAAACAATACAGGGTACACTTGGCGGCGGTGGCGGCGGCTGCGGCGGCTTCGGCGGCTGCGTCGGTGGCGGCGGCGGCGGCGGCGGCGGCTGGGGCGGCGGCGGCGGCGGCGGCGGCCGGCGGGGCGCTGCGCGGCGGCGGCGGCGGGGCGGCGGCGGCGGCGGTGGCCGCGGCGGCGTGAGCGGTGGCGGCAGCGGCTGCGGCGGCAGCGGCTGCGGCGGCGGCGATTTGGCAGCGGGGTCGGCGGCGGCGGCGGCGGCGGCGGCGGCGGCCGGAGGCGGCGGCGGCGGCTGCGGCGGCGGCGGCGGCGGATTGGCCCCCAGTAGCTGCCCATCCAAAGACGACTGCTGAATATGCTGAGGCTCGGGCCAGACTCGGGTGCTACGTCTGTGTGGGGGGGGGGCGGGTGGGAGTGAGCGAGACGGCTTGCGGGCGGGGAGGGGGTCCTGACCCCTCCCCCCTACCCTCTCCCCTGGACCTGGACGGGGGGTCCCGCGAGGGGTTGGAGCGTCCAAAATGGCCCAAGATGGCTCCAAGAGCGCCTCTAAGAGCCCAAGGTGAGCTCCAAGATGTCTCAAGATATCCCAAGATGCCTCAAGATGGCTCCCAAGATGCTCCAAGAGGCCCCAAGACCGCTTCAAGACGGCTCCACATGGCCAACGAGCTACCCAAGGAGGCCCCGAAAAGGCCCAACTCTTTTCCAACCATACGAATAGCAGTGTGTTTTGCTTGTTCGCCCTTTCGCTGCCGATGGCCATACGAGGCTTCAAGATGGCTCCAAGATGGCCCAAGAGGGCCACAGGAATGGCCCAAGAGAGCCCCAAGACGGCCCACGAGCGCTCAAGAGCGCTCCAACAGCGCCCCAAGAGCGCCCAAGAGGCGATGCTTGGAGCTCCCGAATGGGGAAGCCGCAATTGAGGAACCCCACATCTTTGACCGTTGTCTTCCAAGCTGTCCCCAAGAACGCTCCTAAGGCTCCCAAAAGCGCCCCAACATGGCCCCAAGAGGCGCCCAGACAGCCCCAAGAGGCGCCCAGGAAACAGCCAAGAGGCTCCCAAGAGGCTTCCAAGAGTCTTCAAGAGGATCCCCTAGGCACCCAATGCGCTCAAAGACGGCCCTGGGCTCGCCATTCTGCCCCTCTTTCTCCTCCTCCTCCTCCTCCTCCTCCTCCTCCTCCTCCTCCTCCTTGTCAGGTGTCTCTTCCTCCTTCCTTCTCTTCGCCCTCCTCCTCCTTCTCCTGCACCATCCTCTCCCCTTGGGGTATCGGACGGCTTCCCCCGCCGTTGGTTCTTCTGCATGCTTCCCGACCTCCCTGATCACCTCCACTCCCCGGAGCATCGTTTCTGGATGGGCTGGTGGGGATACGCGAAGCGTCAACAATTGGTCGTCGTGTTTTTTGTTTCGCGAGGCGAGGGGGACGTGACTGTGACGGCGGAGGCGGCTGGAGGGGCCTCCCATGTGCGCCGAAGGAGTACGTGGCGTCTCGAGCTGGAGTTGGCGAGGTTGGACCAGGGGCGGGGTTGCGAGCGCCTTGCCTCGGGGGGGGAGGGGAGGCAGAGGGGAGGGGGAGGAGCCTGTGGGTGAGGGGAAGGCGCGGGGGAGGGTCGGGCGGGGGGAGGGGCGAGGAGATGCGGGAGGGTAAGCCAACGGAGGGGATCATGCTGGGACACTGCTGGTCCGTGCCAAGGCCATTCGCGGATGGGGCTCACGCGGCGGCGGCCAGCAGGTGCCCCAGCCATGATCGCACTGCCGATGTCGGCTGCACCAGCCCTCTCGCATTCGCTGCTTCTGCTCTGTAGCTGATGCACACATACGGGCTGGCCACGGATGCGCTAATAAACAACATGTAGCTCGAGTCGCTTGCCCTGATCAGCTTATCACACAGTCTCTCCATTGGCTGCAGCTGAGAACGTTCGGTTGCAGCCGTCTCGCATGGCCGCCACGGCTTCTATTCCCAGGTGATGCTCGGGCAGTAGCTTGGTGAGGGCCTCCAGGAGCTTCACGACGCCCGGGGGGGTGCACCGAGCTACTCGTCTGTGGTCTGGCCACGGCCGCCCAGACGACCTGGGGCAGACTTCGGCCTCTGGAGGGCGCTCTCTGGCTCCAGGACAGACAAGCAACGACTCAGGAGGAAACTCCGGCCCCGGGGAAGGGGTCTGAGCCCCAGGGGCCGACGTCGAGAGACAGTTGCAGCGTCGGGCCCATGCCCCCGACGATGGTTTTTCGTCCCGGCCCTGTTTCTGATGGCCCCCCTGCCCGATGCCCCGGGGCCCCCGAACGGTGTCGTGACCACACCGTGTTGTGAGTCGGCAGGGTTTCGGGGTCACCGCACGGCTTTGGGACTTGGGTCGTACTCCGAGGACGTCTCGGACAGCTGGGGCCTCCAAGGCCCCAAGACCGCGCGGTGGCGGACCGTGCGGTGAGATCCTTCGGGATTCTGAGGTCACCGCACGGTCTGCCACCGCACGGTCTTGGGGACCCCCAGCGCTGACGGGCCCCCCAGGGGCCGGGATCGAGAAGGAGCGCCCCGACGGAGCAGCAGGCACGCGTGCTGTCGGGCTCCGGAGAGAGCTCCGGGCCTCCCGGCCGGGGTCCGAGCGGCCGGGGGCGGAGGGATCGCGCCGCATCGCCGATGCGTCGCCGATGCGGCTCGACGTGGAGCCCGAGTTTTTCCACGCCGACGGCGCTGATGCATCGGCGATGCGGCGCGACCCCCCGACCCCATTCTACCGGGACCCCGTCTGTCACCGCGCCGTCTGTTCCGACGCGCGGCCTTGCGTCTCGGGGAGGGCGCCTCGGTCACCAGGGCAAGCTCCGCCTCGCGCGCGGTGGGTTCGCTGGGGGGTTTGCCGCAGCGCCAGCTGCGTCTACGGTGCGTCCACTTGGGGCGCGGGGCGCAGGGTTTGCCGTGTGTTTGCTGTGGTGTCGGCTTGGTCCACTTGGGCGCGTCGAGGGCGAACGGCGCGGCGACATTTAGGAGGCCTCCGAGAGGGGGCCCCGAGCCTGAAGTCGGGCCTGTCCCTCTACAAGGGAAATATGCAAAGTAGTCAAACAATGGTCTGGGGACGATTCTTTTTAGTCTTTTCGAGCATTTGGGGATCATTTTTTGAGTATCGTGTAAATTTTTCGCCCGAAATCCCCCCTGTAGGGGGACGGGCTCGACCTAACCCGAGCCTTGCCGCGGCAGGTCTCCCTGGGCGCGCGGTCGCGCCGGGCGGCGACCGCGAAGGAGGTGGAGCAGATGCAGGACCCCTGCCGCTCGCGCGCCGCGGCGGTGCCGAGGTTACTGGCCTGGAACACATCCCTATCCCTGTGCCGGGCGTCTCCTCATCACGATGCCAATCTTGGGGATTCCCCTTTTTTTTGAGGGCGGATCCCTAAGATTGTCATCGCCTTCTGGCGCGTCAATCTTAGGGGTAGGGATACGCTCGAGGCTGGTAACGAGGGGGGGAGGGGGGGCACAAAAGGGCGGCCCCTCCAGGGCGCGAAGCTGTTCGCGCTTCGCGGCTCGGCTCCGATGCCTCCTCGTCTTCCTCTCGCTCCCGGGGAGCGGAGCGCGAGCGCGAAGTCGTTCGCGCGTCGGCGGGCTGGCTATGAGCTTATGGGTGCGGGTGGTCGGACCCTGCGGGAGGCTCCCGTTCGAGCGGGGCCCCCCATCCGACAGCACGCGCCCACAGCCCCCCCTCCGTCCCGTCTGGGGAACCGGAGGGCTCGGCAGCAAATCACGAGTGGTGCCCCGTGTGTCCTCGTAACTTCATCCTCGGATTGTATGGTCGTGCGCTGGCGTCCCGGAATCGATGAGACGGCGCCGATTTGGCCTCAAACAGCGTCGATCCAGCGTCAACTAGCGTTGATTAGCGTCGATTCGCAAGAGCCAGCAACAGGGCACAGGAGGCCCTCACGAGTTGCCATCGAGGGGGAGTACGGCCGATGTTATTCTCCATGCCGATGCGGCCCGATCCGGCGCTCATCTCGAGTCGATCTGATTTTCCGATTCGACGAGGACCGATCTTGGCCCTCCATCCCCCCTCCTCTCCTCCCAGCTCCCCTCTTTCGGCGATGACATAGGGTGTGGTTACGCCAGAGTGTGGTTCGCCATCTGCGTCGTTGGGGCCTCAGAGGCACCACGTTGCCCTCGTCGGGCATCCTCCTGGCGCGGCGTAGAGGTCTGTCGAGGTCCTCGCCCGCCCACCAGGCTGCGCGCTGCAAGTCGCACCCGCTGCACACCGCACCCTTCGGAGTCGCCGACTCTTGCTCTCCCAGCCACGCCATATCCGCGGGTTCCATTCGTTCCACCCCGCTCCCCCTTCGATCCGCCTCGTCGCCCCAGCTCACGTCGTGCCGCTCTCGACGGCGTTCCCGCCTGGCGACAGCGGCCGCGCTTCGCTGTCTTACAGGAGGCGATGGACCTGGCCGCGGAGCAGAGGGCGGCCCAGGAGGCGAGGCGGCCGCGGGGCGACCCCATCATCTCCCCGCGCTTCCCTCCTCGCTTCCTCCTTCTGCTCGCGCCCTCCTCCTTGCTCCATCCTTCATCCTCCTGCCACCCCCTCGTGCCTCCTAGCTCCCTCTTCCTCCTCGCCTCCCTGTTCTTCCTCCTGCTTCTCCGTCATCCTGCCCCTTCTTGCTCCCTCCTCCTTCCTCCCCCCTCGTTCCTTCTTCTCCCTCCTCGTTCTCCCACTTCCCTCCTCCCCCCCCTCCTCCCTGACTTCATCTCTCCCGCTCCGTCTCTCCTTCCTCCTCCTCCTCCTCTTCCTCCCGCCTCCCTCCTCCGTCCTTCTTTTTCTGTTCCTTCCTCCTGGTCATTTTCTGCTGCTGCCGCTTGTCATGCTGCCGCGTCGTCGTCATCTTCGTTGTCGGCTCACCCATCCCCCACACCTTATACTAACCGTATCCCCTTCCAGCCACACAACCAAACGTGTCGTCAAGGCGGGCCGGGCGTTTTCGCCTGAGACGTCCTCACCGCTTCCAGCATGTAATGTTGAAGCTAGCAGGTGCTAGATGGATGAGCGCAGGCGGTTTTCAAAACGGGTTCTTGTCTTGGCGTCGCTAACCCTTGCTTGAACACACAATCGATAGTTGCACGGATGGAGGGCGAATCTTGTTTTCAAATTGGGGCTCTCGCCAGGGCGCCGCGCGCACTCGCCTTGGTCAAATGAAGCAGGACAGTACGCGGATGCAGGGCGGGCCGTTTGTAGACTGGGGCTCTTCCCGTGGCGCCGCGCACTTTACGCTTAAACACATCGAACAGTTGCACGGATGGAGGGCGAGTCGTTTTCAAAATGGGGCGCTTGCTTCGGTGCCGCGCACACTCGTCTTGAACATGTGAAGCAATTCTATGGATGGATGGCGGTTCCTGTTCAGAATGGCGCTCAGGCGTCTTTTCAGTGTCACACCACCAGTCTAATTTTGTGCAACACTACACAGGTGGAGCGCGACTCCTTTTATGATTGGGGTTCTTGCTTAAGACCTCGTCCTATCTTGTGACCAGAAGTTTGAACATGTGCCAGAAGGGGTCAGATGGAAGGCAGTTCCTTCTCAAAGCGTGGTTGCCGCTGGGCCCCCCCTTGAACCTTAGGGCCCCACCCTGTCGAGCTCCTCTGGGCTCGATTAATGAAGGGCAGTTCCTCCCACACCGGAGCTCCCGTCTGAATTGTGGCCCATGCTCGTCTTTCAAAGGCGGGCCGCTTCGCGCAGTGAAAACTAAGGCTTATATGATCAAGGCGTTCCAAGCAAGGCCTCGCCTTCGAGGGTCAAAGGAGTTGCCATCTCTTCCGCGGCGGCGGCGGCTGGGCGGCGGAAGGTCGGCAGGAGTGAGGCGAGGCCGCATCCGCCAGCGGAAGCCGCCGGAAGGGCGGCGGAAGGTGGCGGAAGGAAAAAGTGCGCCCCCGAGAGATGGCAACATTTTTGGGTTCAGGGCTTCTGTAATCCATCAAGTGAAGAGGAGACTTGAAGGTAGAATGTGTTGCAGCATCACTGATGCAGACTGGATTGTTTCTGGTCCGTCTCCTCCTTCCCCTCCCTCCTCGCCCCGCTCCTTTTACAGATCTTGTCGTTCCCTGATCCATCGCTCTTGCTTGGCCTTGGCCTGGTCTTCATGACTACACTTCCTGTCGTTAACCTTCCTATCCTCGTCCTGGTTTCCTAACGCGATGTGTGATGCGTATTTTTCTTCTGCTGCTCATATTCCTCCTCTTGGTCCCTCCTCCCGCCTCTTTCTTCTTCCTCGTACTCTCGCCTTTGACCTCGTCGTCTTTTCATCATCCGTCCTTCTCCTCATCGTCGTCGTCCTCCTCCTTCCCCTCCTCGTTATCATTTGTCTTCCTGCCTTCCCCATAATTCTGACCTTCCACTGACCTTCCACATATTCCCGCCACGTTCTGCTCCAGCCGCCGCCATATGTCCCCTCCATCCTTCTTCTCCTCCCTCTTCCATCTTGATTCCTTCTCCCATATCTGCGTCTTTCCTCCTCCCTCCTCCTCCTCGTCCTCCTCCTCCTCCTTCTCCCCCCTTTGCTCGTCCGTCCTCCCACTTGTTATCATCTCGGTCCTGGTCCTCCCAGTGCTCCTCCCCCCTTCCATCCCTCCTCTTCCCCCCCTCCTCGCGCTTCCACCTGCTTCTCCGCTCTTTCCCTCCATCCCTTCGTCATATTCCCCCTCTCCCCCCACTCCTCCATCCTCATCACATATTCTCCTCCTTCTCGCCTGTCCTCCTTTCGCGTCCTGTTCCTCCTCTTCACCTGTCATCCCTCCTACTCCTCCTCCTCCTCCTCCCCCTCCTCCTCCCCTGTCCTGCCCCTCTCCCCCGTCGCCGGCCCTGAGGCCCTCATGTCGCACCGCGACGGCCAGGGGGGCGAGGGGGACAGGATGCTGACCTCCAGTCAGGACCCCGAGAAGGAGCACCCCTCGTGCGCGCCACGTCCACCCGTCCTCAACATCGCCCCCTCCAAAGGGGAGTGGGGGGGGAGGAGGAGGGAGGAGGGAGGAGGAGGGCCGAGGAGGGAGGAGGGATGAGAGGGACTCGCCTCTCCTGGTCTCCCCCGTGGATTTCCCGTCCCTGTCCCCTCCCCTCCTCTCCTTCGTCTCCCTCCGCCCCCTCACTCGGGTCGTCGGCCCCCGCCGCTGGCCGCTGGCCGCCGTCGTCGGCGTCGGCCGTCGTCGCCAGCTTCGCCGTTGGCGGCGTCGTCGTCGTCGTTCTCCTCCTGGTCGTCGATGTCGTCGGCAGCATCCTCGCCAGGAGCTGATGCTCGCTAAGAAGAGCTCGCACGTCATCAACTCCGGGTACACGAAGGCCACCACCCTGCTTGCCGTGCCCCGCCTGCGTTCCCTCGCTGGCGAACTACGAGCGCGGCGGAGGCGGGGGTGCAGAGGCGAGAAGATTTGGGAGGAGGACCCAGGAGGAGGAGGAGGAGGATGAGGAGGAATGAAGGAATGGAGTTGGAGGAGAACGGGGGGGGAAATATTGGGTAAGCAAGAATGATGGCGGATGGAACGGGTGATAGGGAGGAAGGGGGAGGAGGTACGACCAGACCGAACGAGTGCGCAGAGCGACAGAAAAGAGGGGAAACAGAGAAAGACAAAGGCCGAGGGCGCGCAACCCGACGATTAGACGGAGGACAGCCCGAGGCGCAGCCTCAGGCTACCGCAGACGAAGCCAAAAGCAGGCATCGTCTGTGGGGAAGAGGGGGCGGGGCTCGCCCCGCCACTCGCCCGAAAGGGGATCTTTACCCGCCTCAAGGCGCTTTAAATAAGTGGCGTCCTTGCTGGATGCAAAGCCCTCACACTGGCCCCACAATCGGGAACGAGGGGCCGACGGCTGGGCCCTGGCGCCGCAGCGGTGGCAGAATGCAAGGGTCTCGCCAGCAAGACTAATATGATGCCCTCTAGCACTACAGGGCCCCACAGGGCCATGAGCGGGGAGAGGGACCTCAGGGCGGGCGGCATCACGCGCAACCCAGGAAGGCGCACCAGGACCTCCAGAGGTCCGAGGGCGCTTGCAGGGCGGGGGCCCCACAAGCACGCCAGAGCCCGCAGGCCCGACACCGCCAGACACGGAGGGCGACGCCCCCGTCCGAGGCGCCTTCGGACGCGGGCCCTCCAGGGGCCCACCCGCCCTGCGGTCCCTCACCGTCCTGGCAGGAGCGGGGGGGGTGGCGGAGGGGGGGGGCTCATGCGGGGCCAGGGGGCGTGCCTCTTTGGCGCGCCGACACGCCTCCCCCAGCTCAGCATCCAACTGATCCTCACCCCCACCATCCACCTGAAACCTCACCCGCTTAAAGGCCAGGGACCGCTCAAGACCCTCGGTCGCGATGGGCGGCGACCTCTCTGGTCCACTTGAGGCTTCGACGCTTCGAAGCTCCAAGGAAGGGCAAGCCTCAGAGGGAGGGCCCGAGACGCTCCCGCTCGGCCCGCCAGGGCCCTTCGGCCCAGCAAGGGCCGCAGTCGAGGAAGGCTCAGGCGAAACACCCTCGAGGCCCCAGAGGGCCGCCGCCTCCGCGACCCTACAAAGACCCTTCCGAAGCCTCGCAGCACCTTTCGGCGTAACCGCGTAAGCGGCGCAACGATCACAACTGTACTTCTCGCCCCTCAACCTCACTCGATGCAGGAGCTGAGGAGGGCAGGCCTGCCCGCCTGCGGGTGAACCCGCACCGCGGCGCCCGCACCCAGCGCCGCTGCCTGCAGCGCCAGCCGCGGTCAGCTGCGCCCAGCGGCCGCGCAGCTCCATGTCGCGCCTCCGTGGGACGTCCACGCGGTCGGGTGCCACGGTGCCTTCGAAAATCATCCTGGACGAGTTTGCAATCCAGGTCGCGACCGATCTGAGCGTACAGAGAGAGTCGGTGTAGCTCTTGACAATGACCAGGGGAAGGTCGTGCAGCTGCCGACCCCTCTTAGCCGCTTGATCTGCCAGATCGTTGCAGCGGCGATGCCATGAGTCCTCCCTGGAGTGGCCCTTGACGTACGAAAACCGAATCGGACTCTCCAGGTCTCCAGAAATGGAAAAACCGCCATGATCCTCCAACTGGTGAAATAGGCGACGCCAAAGATCCACATTCTCACGCCTCGGATTTAGACACCAGCGCTTGCCACGCGCCAGCCCCTCAAGCAAAGGCAGGTAGTCCGTGAAGATATGGAGCGGGGCCACACCGACGGACAGCACCTGAACCACTGCGAACAACTCACCACGAGCGGACGTCTGGCGATGGCCAGGCAGCGGCCCAAAGACCGCTCCGTAATAAGAAGCATCCCCAACAACCACGAAGCCCCAGCCCGCACGGTCAGCAGCGTCCCAGTGGAGCAACTCCCTGCACGACCCGTCAGTGAACACCGAGCCCGTGACGACAAAATGTCCATGGGCCCGGGCTCCACGATCATAACACCAAACACCTGAGTCGTTCCTGGGCGGCAAGGCAGGAAGAAAGGAGTTGGGGTAAAGCCCACGCGAGTAGAGCAAATCACCAGGTGGTGCCCTCCTTGCCGCGTCCAGGGTGGCCTCCGACACCGCATGCCCCCGAATGCCGTCAAACACGCGGCATTGCCAATGCCTGTGGTGGGCGGTACCTTCGACACCAGGACAGTTCCTGCAATCAGGGCAGTGAGCGTAAGCGTGTCGGTACAAGCGCTTCTGCGTGAAATGGCCACCCACGACCGCAGTGCGTAGCGCAGCCCGAGCCAGCGGATCCAATACCCAACGCTTGGCCTTGGGACCAGGGCAAAGCAACGCACGTATGGGACTCAACCATGCACCAGCGGGGTCCTTGTGAGACGGGCCATCAAGTTCAGGCATCACCTCAGGCCTGGCAGCCCATTGGTACCAGCCTACGATCTCATAGTCCTTGAGCGCCAGCCACTTGACCCCTGACGGGGCCACCTCACGTAAGTCCATAGTAATACCAGCACGAGTACGAACTCGAAACGCTGGGGAGACTGTCCAGCCCAAGAAAGTCACAGACCGCGCAAAAGCAACAGCTGGGCCAGCCACTAGCTTCCAGCTCTCCTGCCAGTCAACCGAGGCCACCTTCCAGCATTGAGAGCGCCAAGCCGTCTGCAGCGTAAAATGGTCAACATCCCCCGACTGAATCAACAAAGCCCAGTTGAACACAGGTCCAACAATGGCCAAAGTCGCTGGTTGAGACTCAAAGCCCACTTCCAACCTCGATGCAATCCAGTGCGACGCTCCTGAGGGAATGGCTTGCCAGCCCATCTTCGCCAGGGAAGTCATACGCTTGATCAGGTGCGGCCCGGCGCCCAGAATGCCCAAGCCGTAGGTAATAGCGGGGCCAACTGCTGCTTTGGGAACCTGTCTGAACTTCGCTCCAAGGTGGCTCAGCCTCTTGAAGTGCCTTGCCCGCTTCAATGCGCACCCGACACGACCCCGAAGCACTCGAGCACGAACACTCTTGCCAGCGGCCACCTCAAGGCCTAAGACCTGCAACCAGGACCTGGCCTGAAAACCGTATCTCCGCAGAAGACGAGCCACAGCGGGGGCTACGGAGTCATCGGACGCGGTGAGGGAAGCCTTTGACTTCGCCACGGGGAGGCCGAGATCCTGCAGGGTGTCACAGAGTAAAGCCACCGCATCGGTGGCGATCCTGCACACATCCGTCCGTCTGGCCACCACTGGCAGAGTTAAGTCGTCAGCGAAGATGTCCAGCGAGAAAGAAAAACCCATCTGAGCAGGAATGCCGAGACCGACCGTGCTGACGAAATCATCCATTGACGCGAGCATCAGTAGCTGCACAAAGTCCATGGCAAACTTGCACCCTGGAAGAACGCCCTGAGACACCGTAACGGCATATGACGTAGCCTGCTGCCACACGAGTCTGCGAGGCGCACGATACATGCTCAGCGCACAAGAAAGCAGCTGACGCGGAAAACCGTGCTTGGCCGCCGCCGAGATAAGCCTCCGCCAACAAATGCGGTCGAAGCACTTCTCGACATCAACAATGGCCGTCACGACACCTTGCTCCGCCGCCAGTGCAGCTTCAGCCCTCACCAGGGCCCGCGAGGCCACGTCCAGAGTGGTCTTGTCAGAGGCCAGGGCGAAAAACGGCCTGTCGTGCTCCAGCAGCCAGGCCCGCAGCTGCCTGTTGCGGACCTGCGACCGCACACGGTAAGTCGCCTGCAAGAGCGCGATGGGCCGCCATCCACCTTTGGGCTTCGCCAAGAGCACAATGTGGACGGCGGCCAGCTGCGTGGGCCAACGCTCCCAGTGCTCCGCCAGCCAGAGCACATAGATGAACAGTGAGAGGGTCTCGTCCGCGAGCAGGCTGAGGGAGCGAGGCGCCAGTCGGTCAGCACCTTGCCCAGTGTGCCACTTGAAGGACTTTGCCGCCGCACGCAGCTGGCCAATCTTGGGCACAGGCAGGGAAGCGCGCGGCAGGCGCCGAATATCATCAAAGAGCTGCGCCGTGTCAGGGGAATCCGCGAGGTGCCTCACCACATATTCATCGGGTCCAGCAGCATCCCCATGCACCTGATCACGGGTGGGGATCACTGACGCAGGGCGTGCACTCCAAATGCGAGACCAACCATCCATTTGATCATCCGCAACATCCTGAGCCAAGGTAGATGGCTTCGCATGCCGAACCACTTGGGAATGCCGAGCGCCAGACGGCTTCGTGAAGCTGAACAGCGGCTTGATGCGAGACTCACGACAGTTGGCGGCCCACCGTGCGAACTCTCGCCTGCGCTCGGCCATCGCCGCCTGCTCCAGGTCGCCAGCGAAAGAGCGAAGCCAACCAATGACAAAATAGACCGACTCCATCAGCAGGCGCTGAATGCCAGCGAGATCACCTCCCACGAGACCAGTAGTGGGCAACCCAACGTGGTCTCCTGACTGTGGCAGGGCCGCTCGACCCAGCAGCACCTGGAAAGCGTCGGGGGACGCCTCCACGACCTCCCGTGCCAGCGGCAAGATGCCCCGCAGCGTGGCCACCACGTGCTGGCACTCAAGCGAGCGAAAAGACCTTTCGGCGCCCAGAGAGACGAGTCTGTCCAAGCGCCGAAGTAAATCCAAGGGCTGCAGCCTTGCACGTAGCGCATCATCAGCAGCCTGGGCCAGGCGCCGAGCACGTCGAGCGTCGGGAGGGGCGGCAGGTCTCGCAGCTGCTGGCGCTCCTCCAGCTTGGCGCCAACTGTAGGCCACCTTATCAGCACGACCGCAGTAGCGAGGAGCGTCGCTCGCAGGGACACCATAACGCACCAGCAACTCCTCCTCCACGATGTACATAAACTCAGCGTACAGGTGGTCCAGCCGCGCCTGAGCCTGAACAGGAGTCGCATCACCTCCAAGT